TGCCCGATGACTGCTAAATATATTTAAATTCGGAAGTCACTAACCTGTAGGATGTTTTTATATTTGTGGATTGAAGAGCTCATTTTCTGCTAACTACAAGCCAGGGTTGCCTTCAAATAACTCAATTTGTTTGTTAAGAATTAATCAAATTGAATTCTATCATCTTTATTTAACTTATTTTGTTTTCTTCTTCTTGGGCCTATATTCTTTTAGTTTCGTCAACATGGAGTGAAGAAATGTTTAAGTGCATGTATTGTCATGGAGGGCCTTGAATTGCTTGGATTCATTTTTTCTCTGGTTGCGTGTGAAACAATTTGGTGGGCTGGATACCGTTTCTGTCAAATGCATTCTCTTGTCATGCTATTATGGTCCTCCAATATGCCTTGAGTATGAGAATGATAGCTGAACCATGACACATGCCTTTGAACGGAAATGATCAGGATCACGCTAATGTAGAAGTTTAAGTTTTGTCTCTAGGTCAATATATAGGCAGGAAGTGTATTCTTATCCTTTTTGTTTCTTGCTTTCTGATTTTGATGGACTGCCCTAGGGTTATCCACCTTGAGTTGCTTAATTTTTAATACTTGTTTCTTTTTTCAAGTTTATTTTAGTTTAGACAGAAAATTTTAGTCAAATTCAATGAGCCTATACAATTATTAGGTGGTTACCTCACATTTTCCCCTCTCAAGACCACTCTTGGAGTCCAATTTTCTCTAAAATTGACCAATACATGGTCTAGTGTTTGATTTTACTTCTAATAAGATTAATAGTAGCTCCCGAAACTTATGATTTTAAATCTTAACGTATTAATATTCAATGGTTGCAACAATCCTTAATTTTTTTAAGAGTGAAGAGAAAAAAAGAAAATATAGTGATTTTAGTAGCAGCAGCAATAATAATAATAAGATGATTCAAGTTATATTTTTATTTTTAGTTTGATTAAATGTAATTAACAGAATAGGGATTATATTTGTTACAATAGCAAAACAGATTGATGTTTGTGAAGAGAATGCGTTTTTGTATAGGAACTTGGCTATGTAATGCATACATTCTAACTTTGATAAAGAGATTTGTTCTCGAGATCATTGAGCCAAGAAAAGTCACACCCATATTGCATGAGAGTGGATGCTAGTTGATTCATTTAAGTTTGGTTTCATAATATTTATCTCTCTGTTTTTGTGTGGATCAAAGGCCTGCACTGTGCAAATAATGCCATGATTTTGGTAAACTAAGTGAACCATTTTGTTTCCTTTTATGTATTTAATCTTCATATTCCTAAATATGGTTTCTAAATTTAGGATTTAGTTATTTGATGCAAATTCTATACTCACATTTCCACAATAGTTTAGATATAAATACATGCATGCAGTTTATGCTTGCATTCACTAGTCTAGACCACAAAGTGAGTGCTTTATCTCTTATTACCTTGTTTTTTTTTTTTTGAGATAATATCTCTTCTTACCTTGTACTATCGTAGACCTAAATTTTTTATTTTTAACTGATGAGTGTTTGTTGATTGATCCCACATTTAATAAGACTTGTATTGTAAACTTAAGTATCTAAAAATTAAATTTCATGGAGAGCCACTGCCTCACCCCTGTGACAACTTCAAGTTTAAAGTTAGATGCGTGTTATCCTTTTCAAGTCATCAGAAATCTGTTAAAACAAGAACCTGTAGATTTATATGTTCTGATGTCTTCTTTTGTTGCCTCCTATTTTGATCCTTCTTATACATATTTCCGTCTAATAACATCTTGGATAATCATGATATCCAGAAGGAACTTAATTTGCTGAAGAATGGTGGCATCAACTTCAGGCACCACTTCTCTTAAAGAATATTTGAAACGATACGAAAGCACTGATGTAGAAGAAAATAAAAAGAAAAAAAGGAAGACAAAAATCAAACCAGATGCGAGCGGTGTTCTTGTTGTGGATGAAGATCCTGTTTGGCAAAGACCGATAAATCTTGATGAAGAAGAAAATGACAAAGATTCAGCAGGTAGAACTTTGATTTGAGTCCATCTACTTATAGTTTCTCATTTCTATTTGAGTTTTATTGATTTGTGGGATTTGTATTGCAATGTTTTTTGGTAGATGAGAAGCCCCAAGTTGATGAAGACATTGAAGTTCGAAGAATGAAGAGGCTGGAACAACTTAGAGCTAGGCGAGCTTATAACGCTATTGCTGAGGATGGCAGTGGATGGATTTCATTGTCTCCTAAACGTAAAAATATTGATGACATGAATTCTGATATCTCCCCACCACGTAGGCAGAAGTCTCGAAATGACACACCTCCTCCAGAACCAGGATTGAGGCCCTTGGGATGTGGTGGAGATGATGTTGATTTGTCACCTCTAAGGCAACGGAAACACCATCATACACCATCACCTGACCCAAATGGAAAACGTGCACCTTCTATTCATTCAGATTCTGATATTTCTCCACCACGTAGGTCAGGGCACGGATTGACAGTCCATCTCCAGGACACCAACTTTAAACTTTCAAGAAAAGATGAAGATGATTTCTCTCCTCCTCGGCAGCGGAAGAATCGTTATGATTCTCCTTCACTTGAACCTGTAATTTCTGTTGGTCTGGATTCTGATTTATTACCGCCTCGTAAACAGAGAAAAGAGAATGAAAGTGTGCCGACTAATTATATACTGCCTCGACGGCAGAGGCAGAAGCACTACCATGCTTCTTCGCCTAAACATGATTTAGAGCCTGCAAAATCCATGGGCCAAAGTACTGAGTTGTCTTCTGGTAGGCGGCGTCATGATTCCTCATATCAAGATGATAAACGCGCTTCCCATGAGCTAGTTCTTTCACCCCCACGAGAAAAGGAATTAATTGGTGTAGCTTCTGCCAACGAACCTCGTAGAACTGGTTTAATCAGTGGCCGTGATATCCGTGAAGAAATTTTGAAAACCAAGAAAGATGAAATTTCAAGGTAAACATACTTATAAAATGACAATGGGTATATTCCTTATCAAATTGTCTATGTTTAGGAGGATTGCTGTTGTTGTTGCTCCTTGCATAGATTCTATGTTCTTGCATATTACACAGTGCAGGCTCAAGAAGTGGGTGAAATAACCATTATTTTTTATATAGATTTTGCTTCTCTTTGTGACTTATTTTACATGGAAGTGCCTCCTTTTCTTAACCCATTTAGTTTGTTATATTTTTAATTCTTGAGATGTTTAATTTTAATGTAAACGTTGATGATATTTCTTTTTTCCTTTTTTAAGAAAATTTTGGAGGCAAGAAGATAGAGCCTGCTTTTCTCACATTATGTATTTATTATTTATGGTTAAATTGCTTGTTTAATTGTGTCTGCACCTTTTGTAGGTTTTCAGCAATGGATCCTCATTTAAGTGGAAAAGGTGCTGAACCTGTGTTTCGTGATAAGACTAAAGGTAGGGAGAACTTGTTTTCTACTGACTTCTAAGTTTTTATGTCATGCATAGTTTTATTTGTCTCGCATGTTGATGATGCTCAATGTTTCAGGGCATCGCATATCTAAAGAGGACTACTTAAAAATACATCAGAAGGAGGAAGAAAAGCCTAAGGTACCATGTTGAAAATGACTACTGATGCTAGAGGTTATAAATTACATGTCTAGAATTTCTATATATACTTATAACTATAAAGTACTCTTACTGAAATCCTACTGATTATCTTCTACAGATGGCATTTGGATTCCCTGCACTCTCTAGTTTTATGGCCTTATTTTCCCGTTCATTAGTTGATACTGCCGTCATTATTACTTCCCCTCTCACTCCCATTGTTTCAGTTTTTTTCTGAAACATAATCAGGAAACTATAAGGGCACCAGTGAAGTAGGTGGCTTTCCAATATGATGTTTATTTGGATTTTTCCGTATGTTAACTCATAACTTGTGTGAACTGTGATGGCTTTTCGACCATTATGGTTAATTAGTTGAGAGTAGTATTGATAAGTTTAACAATCCACTGACGGCTTTTTATCTGGCTTATGTATTGGTTGGACTTGCAGTTATTTGCAATAGGTACTACAGCAAGAGATTGTCCATTGGAAACTAAAACCACATTCTTCTGTTATCATTTCTCATCCTATCATCTGTTTAATTTAGTCAGTTTGAATTCTTTTTTAATGGTGATTTGTGCTTTTTGGCATACATCCTGTGTTGTAAAAATACATGCATAACCCTCTTCATCAATAATCATCACGTGAATTTTATGTCTCTTTGTCTCACTCGTTAAAGTTATCTGGAGTTTATAGTTTCATTATTTGTATCTCCTTTTAGGATGTTACAGAAACTTTGATGATTCAGTAATGACCTTCAAGTGAGACCTCAAAGATTTGTCTCAGCATTCGTGAAGTATCTAATAGGTTATATAAGAAGAATTTGGAAAATTAATTGGAAAATGGTAATAAAGCCTTTTCTTCAAAATGTTAATTTTCAGTCGACACAACATATAATGTCTTTTCTTTCAGGAGAAGTTGGAATGGGGAAAGGGCCTGGCTCAAAAGCGTGAAGCTGAAGCAAGGTTGCAAGAGCTAGAACTTGAGAGGGACAAACCATTTACTCGGACCAAGTAAGTATAGTGATGCTGAAGGACGATTAAATTATTTTGCTTGATTTATTGAAAGGCATGGTTATAAGCTAGTCTTACCGTTAAATTAAAAAAAGATTTTCTTAGGAAAAATGAAAAGTAGCTTATTTATTTCTAAATTAAGAAAAATATTTTTTAAGAAAAAAATAATTATTGTTTGGTCTTTCAGGAGATTTCATTTCCTAGTATCTACTAATTATCGGTGCTTATCTTCCTTTCATAGCATTTATAGTTTCAACGATTGTTTTCAGGGACGACCCTGAACTAGACAAAATGCTGAAGGAGAGAGTTAGATGGGGTGATCCCATGGCACATTTGGTCAAGGTAATTGATTCACTTGATTGCTTTGCAAATTAGGACAAGTGAACAGTGGATTTAGTGTTGAGATTAGGACTTCTAACATATATTATTGCACATATTGCAGAAAAAGCACACTGATGCTGTTCTTCCAGACCTGGGGGATAATGAGAAGATGAAGGAGTCAGGGTTCATAATTCCACAGGATGTTCCAAGCCATAGCTGGATAAAAAGAGGCTTAGATGCTGCTCCAAACCGATATGGGATAAGACCAGGAAGACACTGGGATGGGGTTGACCGCAGTAATGGTTTGTCCCTTTCTGTCGTACAGTTTAGACGTTTTCTATTTACACTTTTCATCAGTTGTGAAGGAATTATCTTAATGCCCCTGGTCATCTTTTTTTTGCACTATATAGTGGGGATGAATCACTGATCGTAGGAACATTATTATGCCTCTCAATAGAAAACTAAAGATATGGAGAACTTTTTCTAATATGTAATGGTACTATTGAAATGACAGTTTCCTTTCTTTTTTTTTTTTTTTTTTTTTTTTTTTTTTTTTTTTTCTGTTGCTACTTGTATAGGTTTTGAGAAGAAGATGTTCTTGAGGATGAACCAAAAACAGGCTACAGAAAGGGAAGCTTATCTTTGGTCTGTATCTGATATGTAAGTTTGTGTTGTAGGCCTGCTATTGGCTACATTCTTCCATTTTACAGTTGCACCTATTGTATCGCCAGAATCAACAGTATTTAAGTTTTGGGTTAGGTCTGTTTGTTGCAAACCCTTTGGGCTGTATTCTGTTGACTGACTCGTAGAGGTTGTTTCTTTGTACTGTTGGAAGCACTTTTTCTCTCCATGTGGCATGTTTTCTGAAGACCGACATCTTTGTTTATATCCAAAATTACATCAAATGACCAATCAAGAGGGTTGACTTAAGATGTGACCAGCAGTTCCTCGAGTAACAGTGCATGTATGTATTTACAGATGAAATCAGTTAGCAGCGCATGAATAACATGATGGAGGAGGGAGGGTAGCTGGCCCAATAGCATTTGATGAGAGTTTCCTCTGGATGAAAGCAGTAAAATACGTGTTTTTTTATTTTTATTTATATTTATATTTTAAAAGGTTTATATTTGATTAAAAATAGAGACAATACTTGAAAGTGATTGAAGAGGTACCACATGTATTCGGTTAGTCTCCGTTGAATGCTCCAAGCCGTCGGCCTTGGACGATGTTTAAATTAATTGGTTGAATAATCAGTCAGGAAGATACTTTTATTAAATTATGTTTTTTTTAATTATTATTTTAAATTGAATTTTCATTATTTTTTATTAAAGAATTTAAAGTTTCAAATAAATTGCAAAAAAAAAAAAAAAAAAACCATATTATTTCATGTTAGATTTTAAACAAATTATTGAATTAGTTTATAAAGTTCGACCCTTAATATAATTTGATTTGTTGGTATTTTTAATAAAATTTAACCTTCTTAAGTTTTGTATTTTTAAAAAAGAATTTAATTTTAATTTATTTTTTAATAAAAAATTAGAACTTTTAGAAAGTGCCTCAATTAAATTTTAAAGTAATTAAGAAAATTAGAAAAAAAAATCATGTTTACATAAAATAAAAAATATTTTAAAGAAATTTTTTATTATTTTAAAATGTAAAAAGAACTATTTTTTTAAGCATCACAACATGATGTAATTATTTTAATAGTTTATGCTGGTACATGTACGTAAAATTGAACTTTTAAAACAAATTCAAAATGTTGAAAATTAAATTACAATAAAAAAATAATAAAGATTAAATCTTAAATTTTAGCGATTAATTCAATATATATATATATATGTACAGGTTGGAAATATATTAAATTAGTA